GTTATGGTTCACTCAATTTCATTCGGTTATTCGCTGGTAATCTTCCGGTATTTTTGGTCAATTTGAACCCGTTTTCGGCAAAGAATGTAGTTCAGAACCACACCATGGAAACAAGACAAAACAATCAGAATTCACTGAATTTTTCATTCAGAAACAGCAATAACAACAACAACGAACCGGCCGCTGATGGGACTGTATATGGTGCACACACTCCCCGCTTGACCAACTCGTGGAGTTCGTTAAAATTAGTGATAGTTGCTTTGTAGGGTTCATCGTCGCAGATAACGTTCTCTCGAACTTCCTTCTCAAACTTGGGACCCGACGGTACAGTTTGCAATTGTAAATACGTGAACGTTTTATTTGGGCACTTCGAAACACAAACCTATCAACATTTCAATGTGATCACCTGCTCTGATGATAAGCAGTACGATTTTTTGATGAATTCTCGCATATTGCTTATTACCAACTCGTGCTATGCGATTCCACCTAACATCTCACTTTCATTGAGGGATCACTATCATTTCAAAGTTTGAATGTTTCAATCTTACAATTAGTATTTTATATTCATTACCAATACAGTTGAAGTGATCGGTTCACTTGGCTAGTTTGTGCATGATCAGTTGTCATTTTGCAAACAATCTTAAGTGGTTGAATCGTTGCCTCATCAACTTCTGTCTCCCATTCACCACCAATAACACGAAAATGATTTGGAAGATTTGTGAAACTTAATATCTTTTTTTAATACTGTAATGACTGCCTTTCACCTTTTCACAGTTACTTAGCGATTCATCTTTGATGGAAGATTCGCCGGAAAATGTGGAACAGACCGCGACAAGTTGCTAGAGTTGGACTTTAGCAATCTTGAGTGCTGATTGAAAAACAATTACACTTGGGCACTCACCTTTCCAGTTTGACATCCAGCGAAAACAGTGGCATACGATAAACATTTTGTGATATCATAGTAGAGCAAATATGGTTTTGATCTGAAATTAAAAACATGATTTCGATGATATGGCAGCTGATAGCATTGAGAAGATTGAAAATGCTGTAGGCAGCTGCGTAAGATTTTCAACATCTGCATATTGGACAGTGCGATTTAAAGCTAAACTCACAGTCAGCTACAAATAAAGTCCTTGAGAGACTATTTACGAATGCAAAACTAGCAAATGCAATTTGACTGACGAAAACTCTGAACCAAAATTTTTTCTATTGAGTTTTCAACATCATAATTTTTCCCTAACAGTGAACATCATAAATGTTGAATATTT